CATAAATCAATTTTTTATTTGAGATCAAAGTTTTGGAAACTTTTTACAAGGACGCTCTGCCAAAAAATCAACGAATCAAATGATATCATCAAGAAAAAACTTTGCGTAGAAATGCAAATAGATAATTCATAAATGTCAAAAACAGAAGCTGCCGAGGATCAAAAAATGTCGACAGTTTTGGTTTCAAGCATAGATGCAATGTGATGTTTTTGATATCCTAAAACAAACGTGAAGCCGTTAGGCATTTACGTTTTTTCTGTTATACGACCAAATACTGATATTTAGGCTAAATTCAAAGTATAGTATTATAATTAATCAGTATTTAGACTTACTTTTTTCCATAGCAAAACAAAATTTTTAGTTTCTTTGTAACAGATGTTCATAAAAAAATTGAATCAAATCATAAAAGACGGGCTATTAAACAAAAAAACAAATTTAGAGAATAAATCATTTTCGATGTGTCTGAATAAAACTCTAAACTTGTTGGCATAACGTTCAAGGTTGATGATCCCCTCCGACACAATCAAGAACCTCCCAAATCGATGAAACATAATATGGAATGTTCGTCATTAGAATTTCTTGGGAAACCAGACATTGCAAAGTGACGCAGAAGCACAAGAGTTTTTCTTACGTAAAAGTTATCTCGAATTTCAAACTAGCCATTGGACAAATCGTTCAAGAAAAAATCGTTCAATTTTTTCTATCGTTGCTACTATTTCTTTTCGTTCAATCATTTTTACGATAGTTGGACGAAAAAAAATATTTTGACCAAATAATTTGTCTTCATTCAATTTGTAACGTTTCTGAGCGCTTGCGCTACATATTCAGCCTCCTTTAATTTTTGTTCAAAACTTTCATAAATTACGATGGCAAAATTGGCTATTATCAAACTTCTAAAACGTTATAACATGTTTTAAAATCATAGAAGGTAAAGTTTTTTGGAGGTTGATATTTCATGCGAGCATGAAAACTATTAACTAATTGTTTTTCCAGAAATAAGCTGATTAAAAAATACATGAAATATTACATCATTTAAGAAACATTACTTTAATCAAAATTTAGAATAAAAAACACCAACAACTTATCGAATATATTTTTTTGTATAATGAAATCAGTTTTTTTGCCCTCAATTTTTTTGGAATTTTAACCAAACTATTTTAACTTGGGGAATTTTTACAGTTGATCTTTTTGAGCTAATCTAAGCTCATGTGACCTAATTGAGGGTTTATTTTGGTCAACGGCGAGAACAGAAAGTTACTAGAAATTGAAGTGAAGATGAGTGTGATTTCTTTGATTAATTAATAGATCTATTGACATCATACCCTCATCAAAGCCACTCCATCTGATCGCAATTTGTATAAATATCAAAAAATTTTCATAAAATTTACTTAACAACCCCTACTTTTTTCAAAACTGATTTCAAACAACCGATTGGTTAATACTAATATGATAGAGTAGTTGCTCGAAAAGTCACTATAACACACATGTATTCGCAGTTATTAATTTGTAAACTACTTTGTGTATAAATGATCAGTTTTTCAGATTTTTTTTTGTTACTGTTTTGTTTACATTATGAAAAAGTTTCGCTTTAATTTATTTTACGATTAAAAAAACATAACTGAGTTAACTAAAATCAAAATTCAATTTTGTTAGTTTTTTGGAATGGAGAGGGGAGAGATTTTTCGAAACGAAAAAACAAAATCTTATTCTCAAAGCACCTGATTATTTTAAGGGTTTCAATCTATAATAGTAGTTCCAATAGATACACAAGAGACGTCACTCACTTTGATAAAAGCAAAAAAAAGATGAACGCTTTAAAAGCCAAAAAAGTCTAATTAATTAATTTAAACACTACTGGTCGTATCGGGCAAAATCCTTAACTGCTACGACTGTCCTTTGACTGTTTTTAGGCTGATAATATCAAGAAAAAAGTGTTAAAGTTCAATTCGAATGAGAAATTAAAAAGGCTAACTAGCTTGCCTCACTTCTATTTGGAACGATTTTGCAAAACGGGATAAATCGCCATGCATGAATAATTCGCATTACACTCAGCATCAAAGTAAAATTAGCAATATAGTTAGACAAGTTTTTGCTTGCACAGTCAATCAGGCTAAATCTATGTAGGTCAAGCGCATGTAGGTAAGGGGACCGACTTTTCAAGCGAACTTAAAATAATGTGAACAACAAAACTACCAAAACAACAAAGAAATTGTATCAAATTGAAAACAAAATAACACAATGAGTATTTTATAAAGGCCCTACTGGCCCTATTTTGAAGCAAGAATTTGTGTACAATTGTCTTAAAAAACTGCTAACACCGCCCAAATCTTGCTTCAAATTAGGTGACAAATCAAATCTTTTCAACTATGTCCCTCTTTGGGTACCGAGTATTGAATATCATCCCGATAAATTTTAAATCAATGGATAAGAAAATGAGAGGTTTATACCTGGTAACGGATATCCCCCTTTTGCAAAAGGTGGGATATAGTTGAAGCAATCCAAAACGGGCCGCTTATCTTCTTTGAAAATAACCATGTAATTCGCTTGGCGTGTAACATACAAGCAACCTGGAGAGTATGGTAAGATGTGCAGTTGCATCGAAACAAGGAGCACATAAATTCCTCAATTAAAATGTATTTCAAACGTGCATCATAGTTACAAAAGCAAACAGTCTGTTCAATGCATGAAATTAGATATATGAAAATCAAAAAGAAAATTAAAATCACAAATCTCTCTTTGAATTCGTATAAATTTTTTTTAATGCAAACAGTTTTTTAAGGTAAGAAGATAATTATAAAATCAAAAACAAAAATTAAACTCACGAATCATTTTGTTTTCTATAACAAATTTTACTTATAACAGTTTTTGTAACAATTTCTGGTGTTAATTTTGGCATATGGAATCATAATGTTAAAATAAACAGTTCAAAAAAATTGAAAAATCATAACTGAGTTAACTTAAGAAAATCAAAATTCAATTTTGATAGTTTTTTGGAATGGTGCGGGGAGAGGTTTTTCTAAATAAAGTAACATAAAGTTTTATTCTCAATGGACCTGATTATTTAAAGGTTTCAATCTATGATTTCATATGAGTTTTTTTAAAGCAAACAGTTTTTTCAGTGCAAACAGTTTTTTGAGGTAAGAAGATAGTTATATGAAAATCAAAAACTAAAATAAAATCATGAACCTCTTTGTTTTCTATAACAAACTTTACTTTACGAATTTTTTCGGCACAATTACTGGTGTTAAATTTGCATGAGGAATCATAAAGTTGAAGCAAACAGTTTGATAACTGTGAAATTATGAAGATGTAGGAATGGGCGGAGATTCAGCCGCCTTTCTTCTGGGATTTTTGAAATGGGAAGCTGCGGATTAAATTTTAAGAAATCAGAGCCCTGTAAAGGGCTAGAAGCTTTCATTTGATCAGGTTCTGTTGCGCAAAGATAAATCAATGCAAATGAAGAAAAAACACTTTAGCGTTTCTTGAAATTTTTTTGTTCCGACTTTCGTAACGAAAGTACTGAAAAATTTGTGCTCGGGATGGTTTTATTCAGGCAAATTTCAATTTTTTAACAAGCCATTTTTGACAGAACTTTTTTGAATCATTAAAATTGTTTTATTGTCTTGATCTTAACTTTGAAAGATATTTTACCTGTGATAATTTCTCGTAAAACTTATAGGGGTTTAAAGATTGGCATTTTGGCCAATTTGGGACAATAAACGCGAGATATATTTCGCGCTATTAACGCGTAAGCGGAGATTTAGTCTGTCTTAGAAATCGTTCCAAACTAGTTAACGGAAACTTATTTGCCATAAGCGATTTTTTACAAGGAGCAAACTTCATCACTTTGTACTTTATATGGCGTGTGGGAAGATGATGTTTAAGAAAAATCTCAAATAATTTAAAACTTTTCAAAATTTTATTGGGTTTTTTTTGGAAAATCAATTTTTTTCATATAATTATTTTATATTATTACTGGTTCAGATACCTTAGGAGGCGGTCGGATTATTCAGGGCTTCGCTTGATACTAGCAGTCTTGTTTCAATTCAAATTAGGTTCGCATAATGCGTACATACACATGCACCTCAAAAATTGATTGCGCGCATAAGTAAAGCAAGCAAAATCGTAAATCAAAGACAAATTCAGAATTTAATCATATAAAATTCAAGTTGCGTAGATTTTTGTTCACTGATTTCTGTTTAAAATGATGAATATTTAAAAAAAAATGAAAAAGGAGCCTATGAAACTTCCAATTGTTACTAAAAGGTTTAGATTACGATCAATGTTTAACCCATAAAAGTTACTTGCCATAACCATTGTCTCTTTGAAGGAAAGAGAACCAGTTCAGTTTTCTGAAGTTGTTTTTAGCCATATAATAAAATTTGGACTTTTCGATCCTTGGTGCAAGTTTCACCCCAGTGGCATTGTTTTGTTCAGCGAAAGATCTGGGCAGCCAGAGTTTCACCAGGCAGAAATAAGAGCTGGAACAAAATTCGAAAGACATTAAATCAAATCAAATCATAATCCTTTGTATAGTAGAAGCGCTCAATAAGTTTTCCAATTCTAGAGAAATTATTCGTACAGAGAAAAGTTCTCGATTTAGATTTTTTCTGCCATTTTTTTTCCAAAGTTGAATCACGATGGCCAGAAATTAACGAATGTTGTTTAGGATAAACTTTGAAAACTGCTCATGCGCCGGAGCGTTTTTTTCTGCAATATTGTGTTTGTGTTGTTACATATAGACATGTTACAATGCTGATCATTATGGGAAGGACCCTCAATAAAGCATTGGCCGACACTTTAGTTATGACAGAAAGCGCAATTCACCAGTGCAAGTTATTCAAATCTTCAAAACAGTGCAAACACTCAAAACTTGGTTGAAAAAGAATACTAACGCATAAATTTTTTCAGTATTGAAGTAAAAACCAGAAGTAACTTTATGAGGTGAAACTTTTAAATCTATTTCCAAAAATTTTTCTACTGATAATCTGTAGAAATTTCAATTTTGATTGTAAATATTTAAAGCTAACCAATCGTGTTCCATTATATAAAACTTACCTTATTTGTTTTAAAACTCACTTTTTCTGTCTGACTACTTAGTGAATATCTAGAACAAAATGATCTCGAACATTAACAGAATTAGCACAAATTTACCCTGCCTACTATGGATTCACTGATGAGGTTGATGGTACAGAAAAACTCGATGATGTTGATTATCATTAAAAGCAGACTGGTATGACACAGGCAATGCAACACTACAATGCAACACTACAAAAAAACAGTCTCTTCACAAAGTGGTTCAAATTGAAAGAAACGTTTCAACAAGCTTCCGATATCGAGCATCATAATATACATAGTGCTTCAACTCAGAGTATGGGAAATTGGCTCACGATAAGTCACCTTGTCGTAAATAACTTGATTACACACTCTTGACTTCACATGATGATTTTATATGGCATAAATGCAATTGTGTAGAAATTTGTGAAGTCATTGAGAAGGTAGTGCATTAGAAACCAATTTTTTTTCCAGTTCCTTCGGATGCTGAAAGAAAGTCGTTCGTTGAAGTAATGGCAGGTTGGTTTTTGCCTTTACTGGGAATTCTTGTAATGAACTCCCTGCTATTAACGCAGCAATGCTCGTGCTATCATTTCTTTTTGGGTAAACTTCCAGAGAGAGCAAAGTTAAAGAGCATAACCTACATCTCAATCGCAGAAAAGAACTTTCGAAGAATAATCATTTGATGAAATTTTTTTAAAAAAAGATCGGCTGATCAAAGTAAACTGCGTCTATTAAACAAAAAAGTACCGGAAGAGAATTTTAATTGCTCGTTCGCTAAGCCCATGACGAAAATAAAAAAAATGTGACGAGAAAACTGGGGAAACAACTTTCTCGGTTGAACATTACTTGTCTTGTTTTACTAGAGGCTTCCCAGTTATTCGGCATAATGAAGTAAGAGCAGCAAAAAAGAGGATGGAATCTTTCTCTAATGTTGAAGTCGAAGCACATTTAGAGCGTTAATGTGGCAAGATTTTGGCTTTGAGAACGTCAATAAGGGGGTCTTGATGTTTCAACTAATGGATTCTGGGATGAAAGGTTTGAGAAGGCATTCTTCGATGCAAGAGTTTTCATTCCTTGCGTCAAATTTAATTCTGGTAATTGTCTACAGTAAGAACGAAGCGAAAAAAAGAGATGCTATGAGCAGCGTATCACAGAGTTGAACATAATTTATTTACACCTCTTGTTCGTTCGTGCAGAAGTGGCATGAGCAAACTTGCCACCACGTTCTACAAGAGACTTGCTTCGATGATCAGTGCGAAGAAGGAAATAACTTCGTGTAGTCAAAATGTTCGGTGGATTCGGTGTCGTCTTGGATTTGCGCTTCTCAGATCTTCGAGCATATGTATTCCTGGATCCCGTTCATCATATCTGAGACCGACACATGATTGTGTTGAGCGGAGAACTCTTGAAGCTCGCTTGATGGACATCAGTTAACTTTTTTCCATGTTTCTTTTATGACATCTGTTATTTGTTGTAGTTTGTACGAATGTAACGTCACCACTACAGAAAATGTTTATGAAAATGACTTCAATGCAACTGAATTGCCCCCGCCATAGACGTTGACTTTTACGATGTGTTTGAAACTGATGCTTATGAACCAGAAAGCGAATTTTTTCAGTTCAATTTTACTGATTCTGATAACTCAACTAACAGAAACACTGATTGGAAAGAAGCGTAATTAATTTTTAAATTTTATACCTCATAATATCTCATGAGACCTAGAAAAAAAGAGTAAAAATATGGTCAAGTTTCGACGGGGAATTACAACAGTGACGAAGTGCAACGGTGCCGAATTTTTTAAAAAATACTGTTCTGACTCATCCCAAATCACTGACAAGTGATTCAATTCGAATGCACGGAATTTGAAAAGACACAATTGGCCTTCCTAATTGATGCCACTTGTTAAACGAAGAAAGTTCCCCAAGTGCGGCTTCATAATTTTTTCTGAAACAAACGATGTTTTGTGCTGGTGGTGGTTTTTTCTTCAGACGATTTTCAACTTGTTAACTAGCCTTTTTAGAGTTTTTTTCCATTCATTCAACAATCATTGTTGTTCGGAGCTTAAAGTTGAATAGATGTTTCATTTTCGTCATTTTTCTTAAAGTTATGATAGTTTAATTTTGCCATTTCGGCCAGCTCGGGACAATTAACGCGCAATATATTTTGCGCTAGTCTTGGAAATTGTTTCAAATTGGTTGAAGGAAGCTTATTAGTCATAACTGATTTTTAAAAGAAGCGAAATCTATCACTTTGTTTTTTATATAGCGTGTGGAGCTATTTTTTTCACAAAAAATCTCAACTTCAATTTTTTTCATTTTGTTTTGGCTTTCTGTTTTTCAAACAGAGTTCAAAGCTTTCAAATATTGTCAATTTTGGTCACGCTTGAGCCCATTGTCAGTTTCGAAACTTCTGTAATTCGGCACTGTTGAACAACCCCCCCTCCCCCGTATTGGACTAAGTAGTTGCAAGAACCTAGCCGCCGAAAAACAGAAAGCCTGGAACATAGACGAATCACCTAATTACCTTGTGAGGTGTGAGCGTATGTGAAATTTTCTAATGTGATAGCATTCCAGTGTTATCTCAACCATTAATCGCACATTGATTCTACTTATCTTTGGACTGTTCTGTGATTCTGATGTTCTGTTCTGCTAATTTATCTTTTGACCATCCCGCATCTAGTTTCAAGGGTTAATAATCAATTATAGTACGATTTTAGTACCAGTACTACTTAAAAGAGGAAAAAAGATTTTAGTCAATTGATAACTGATTATAACGTTTCTTTTTAAAATCAAATTATAATCAATTATAACTTTTTTGAAATAATTATAATCAATTATTTTCATCCCAATTTTCAATTCAAACGTTTTCCACAGAAATCCCCTTTTAATTGATTATAATTTCTTTGTTTGCCCAATTTGTTTTCAACCTTGCATCTGCTTTGCTTATATTTTATGCTTTTGCTAGATATTGGTTTGTGAAAATTGTGAAAACTGTTTTTAGCAGTTATCAAATCAGTTCATATTTATAAGTTTTTTTTCATCTCTTCTCAATATGTTTCATGATGCACATTTTAAGTTTTTGGTGAGACAACATTTTGATAGAATAATGGATTATAATCTGTTATAATAGTTATTAGAGATTATAGGAGATTATGATATAATATGAAAGATTTTGCAGATAATTTATTATTATGTCACAAAAATATTTATCAAAATGATTGATTTTGATTCAGCTGAACATCTAATTTTTGCGTCCATAAATAATTATAATTTTTAATAAAAGTATAATAAAATTGTAATATAATCTATTATTTTCTCTTTTTTACTGAGTTTGGTATGCTCGTTCCATCTTTTGATCTATTATTGCGTATGCATCGATTTGGTTTTGATGCGAAAAGATAAATCTACATCAGACGCAATCTTTGTTTATTTTGGTGCTAGGTAAAAAACACGACAGGAAATAAAGACGACAGTACATTTAGAACACAAATGGGCGTTAAAAAAATTGAATTGTTCGAGTTTAGGCGAAATATTTTTCTCAGAAATACAATGTGAAGAACTGCTTGTTTTGGCGTCTAAATGTCCAATCAAATTGGATGCTGTCATAGTGTCCTGTCGTCTTTTTTGTCGGACACCGCAGATTTTGTTAGTAATATACAAAAATATTTTGCCTGTTTTACTAACTGGATCACTAATTTTCTGAGAGGTTTTGAACCAGCTTGACAACAGAAAGTTTTAGTTCGATTTCTATTGCATAAAAAAGGTAAGCAGATCGAATCAATTTACTTCAAGCTTCAAATCAAATTAAACTCCTTCTTTCTGTAATTTTACTGAATTATTATAATTAAATATTAGTCAATTGTGATTAATTTGCAGAAGCATTCAATTTTAGAATCATTCTCGAACTGAAACTTACAACACGATTAACTTGTTGAATTGTTGGCTTAAAAACGCGAATATGAGTGGTTCACCTACCCCTAGTCCTAACCCCTAGAATCCCGAAAGTAAGGGCGGTTGTCTTTTGATTGGATTGCTAGTGCTCGAGTTAGGTTCTTGCGTTTAGGTACGTTTTCCAGACATCTGCAAGAAACGTTTTTCAAAAAAGGCTAAACAAAAATTTTAACAGGATTGAAACTTGAAAATGAATGATACGAATGAATAAACAAAAACAAAACAAAACTTTCACTGGCTTAACACTAGTTTGAGCTATGAAAAAGTACAAATCAGTTTTGTCTTCGAGAAGGAATAAAAGGTTTTGCACTCTTTTTTTTGAAACACGATACTTTTTTTTATGGTCACTCGATGCATCGAAAAAATTTTATGGTCACTCAAGGCATTGAAGATACACAAATCTTCAATTTTCTCAATTTTTCCGGGTTCTAAGCAGTTTCTATCGCATATAATCTAATTTTCCTGAGCGAACATATCATAGGGCTCGTCGATCAATTTTTCAAATGCAAGGGAAGGCAGCATTTTAAAAGTCAGCGCTAAATCGTAATTCTATTCGTAGGTGGTCTTTTAACACAATTAATTAGTTTTTCTCATGTAAGGTAGGTTTTTTTGGTTTTGTTGGAAAAGATGAGGTATATGCAAGCTGCTAACATGAGCTGAAAGTAGCTGCTGCTCATGAAAAATTTTGGAAGCAATTTCATTTCGTTATTCTCTGCAATAACAAATGCTCAAAACTTGTATTTGGCATTTTAAGCAATCCCAGGTTCCAGTAAGTTTAATTTATGCTTGCATTCAGCAGACGCTATAATAAATGTTTTTTTATAAATTGAATTCGAAAGAAAACTCAATCATAATTTGTGTTTAGTGTGTACGTTTTTGTTGATCACTTAAGTACATCATAAAATGACGGTCAGCATTTTATTTTTGTCAGAGGGTTGATTAGTAACCATAAGGGTTTAGTAAACTATCTAATTGAAAACAAAGTACAAGATTGCCGATAAAAGTCCTAATTACTTTGGGAAGCCTCTTTTCAGCATGTATTTCTAAAATAAATCAAGTTTTCAAAGTGACATGGGCGTTAATTGTAGGATTAAATTTGGTGTGACACGATTTAACATAAGGATTTCATACAACAATGTATTTGGTGTTAAATTAGAAAACAGGAGTGAAATTGTTTGTGTGGTTTTAAATTGTTTGATGGTAAAATGACTAGGCAATAAAGTGCACGGTGTTAAATTGGCTGGTACTAAACTGTAGAACACCATCGAAACTTCTCTGTAATGAGTTTTGGCAAAATTGCTCGCGGTACAAAAATTTTTCATAACTACTTATTTCCTATCTTTCCTGGACACCATAATAACAACAACATTTTCCTAAAAAAAAGAAAATGTTTTTGAGAATTTAAACCCTCCAAAATCCATGCTGACCCTTGTTTCGAACGAAAGTCCAAATCAAATTCCTGCTAATGATGACTTTTGAAAATTAATTAGATATATCAGAATACGTTCACCAACTAGAATGGTCTATATTATTATTTTTCGTGCCGCGGTTTTTTTGAAAATTTTATTTATAACGGCGGTAAATTCATTGGAGTTAAATGATTTCAAAAATTAAGTTGAATGTTATTCAAAACTTCTCAAATGCTCTGAGAACTAAATGTTTTTCGGAAAGATGACAAAACAGAACACATTCAGACACTAAAAATCTGAGTCTATCTTTGAGTCTAGATTTCACAATTTGAGTCTAGCTTTCACTTCGAACTTCGTTAACGGTGACATGCCATGGAGCACATTCCCGCATAGTCGAAAAAAATTCCAGCTTTTGACATTTACAGGTTGCGGTGGGCCTGGTCAATTTTACGTGCCAATCATTGTTCGTGCAGGCCATTTTTTGCTTAATTTCTGTGCTATCCCGAAACGAATTTTTCAACTATGCGGGAAAAAGGCACTGAGCGTACCCACCACCTTAATTTCAATTTTGGGCAGAATAAAAAAAGAGACTCATTTTTTCATTACTCAATAATTACTCAAAATAATCTATGTTCTACCTGAATTCAGCGCAATTTATCCCGTACCAATGATAAGATCCAGGCAAGATGAAATCCAGCGAATAAACTCCCGGTTTTTGATTTTGGCTCGCGTTTCTGGAGATGTTGTTTGTTGAACCAGAAACTAAATCATTCATATAACATCTTTTGCACGTCGAATCTTGTAAATTAGCCTTAGTTTGGTATAATTTCAAAATATACCGTCAGATTAGGCCTATGAAGTTTTAACTCAAAAAGTTATCACAAATGCTCTGAGTATCTATATTGTCTGATTTGCCTGCGGAAGAGAAAATTTTCCGGAAGCCCTTCAAAAGATCTCAGACCAAAACTTTTCGACTCGACAAAGAGACAAAACTGCAAAAACTTTGAATATTTCAGTACTCCAAGATTGTCAAATTACTATTTCGGCCCATGCTATGCAGTTGATGATATTCTAGTTTGCAATTTATTTTCGCTGCAGGGGTGCCTTTTTATATTCACAATAAATTTTAAACAAAATTACATTACTACTATGTTAGCAATTTCGGTTCCATGGACCTTATTTTTCTAACATAGGGAATGCGCATCAAATTTTATATCTTAAAAACTTTTTGCATTAAAAATCTGAAGGTTTCGGAAAAAAAACAAAAGACGTCATAATTCAGTTTTGGCTAGCAAAAAATCATCCCGAATCAACGGAAAAGGCCCAGTTTGGAGAAAAATGCTTAGCTGTACTTGTTATGGATACCATTGTTAATGCCTTTTTGCCAGTAAAGCAAACTCCCTGAAATGTCACTGGTTTCCACAATGTATTAGTGAGTTCTGCAAATGAGCAGCGCAATTTTATCAACGTTCAAAAACAAGTTTGTTAAACCCAAACAAAATATGGAATTTATTAACAAAATATACATCTCTGACAAAATTCAGAATCCAGAAACAGAAAAAAATTTTGAAATCTAATACAACAAAAACGAGCGGAAATAGCTTTAAAGGTCAAAACGCGCTTTTCTATGGAATCCTTAGATAATATTTTTGTCGGTTTTATGTGCAAGGCCTCATTTACTTTTGAGTTCCCTTGATAGATGTCTCTAAAACATAGCAGTTCCTAATATTAAATCATTTATGGCAAACGAGCTTCTGTCAAAAATTTGGAACAATTTCTAAGAAAGATTAAATCTCCGCTTACGCGGAAATAGCGCGAAATATATCGCTCGTTAACAGTCGCAAAATGGCCAAAATGGCAATTGTTGAATTGCCACAACTTTAAAAAAAATGATCACAGGTTAAATATATTTCAAACTCATGATCAGGACAGCAATTCCTTTTGAATGATTTTTAAAAAAACGTCAAAAGGGCTGATTGAAAATGGCAACCCGAGCACAAATATTCCCTTGCTTTCGTATCGAAAGGCGGAACAATAATAATTTGTTTTCATGTACAGGTTGTTATTGATCATTATAAATTACATAAATGACTGCAAAAAAGAACAGGTTCTAATTGGGATGGGGGTGTAATAACACAAAAGTTTTTGTTACAATATTATAGAACTAAAACTCTTGGCGGCTCAAATTTTTTTGGTTAAGACTCGGAGCTTGGTGTTGCAATAAGTGCTTGTATCTTGTCTCTCAGCATATAAAGATTTTTTTGTTCCATTGAAAAATATACTTACAAACCTGGAATTAGAAGATCGAAAACAATCAAAGAGGCAAGAAACACTGGACAACATTTGTTTGGCATTGTATCTTCTCAAATCATTATTTCTTCCGGATGTTATGCAGTAAATTTAACTCGATCTCTTTATAATGTTTATTGTTTGTTGGCCATGAAATATCTTTGACAGATTATTTGAATGGTTTGGCAATATACTTCTCCAATGGCTCTGAACGTTCATTTTGAACTTCAATCAATAACTCTCATTAGCAATAAAAAACGCTAGGTGCGTCATTACAACCATGCCAAGAGAAATAAAGGAAATTTATTCAATATGAAATGGCATGCAACGTGTATAGTCATGAACTATTAGTCATGAAGTGTCAGGACATCGAAAAGGACTACCAAAGAAATAAATCAAGTCCGAGCTCTAAATGTTACTTACAATGTCAAATAAAAAATGCGACTCCAGTTCAAAAACCGTTCGAGATAGTTAACCAAAAAATAAATATATCTTATCAATGTATTGCGCCGCATAAAACTATTCGTTTCAAAAAATTTTGATAGAAAATTATTTACCGTAATCTAAGCCTTGATAATGAAACAGGCAGCGCTTCTCATGTATGTATTGTTCTTTATCATAGCGTGTGCGCGCAAAAGATTTTCTTTTTTGTGCCTACACATTTTTTAAAGTTTTTTTAAAGAAAAATCTAATATGGCTTGCCAGTGTCCATAGTTTCGAAAAAGTGAGTGGAATTTATGTTATTATGCGCTGATTTTGAAAAATAAAAATTAAATAAACTAGGTTTATACTCTTTAGTCTCCAAAAATTTGAAGATTACTAATTATAATCGACCAAAAAAAAAATGTTGTAAAGTTCCAAAACTTCTCAGTCAAAAAATTTACTACCAGGCCAATGAAATTTTTATAGTAGTAGGATGGGGAATTTGTTCAGAGAGGGGGAAAATAATGAATAAAATGTTTCACTTAATTGGAGCTTTAAATGATGTGGCTTTGCGGAAATGTTAACCAGCCATGTAAACAGAAGTTTGCGGGAAAAATCAAATTTGTTGGAGTGTTTAAAAACCATCTATGAACCTCGATAAGATTTTTACAATGGAAGAGAACCTAAAACTCAATTATGATTTAAATAACATCAAGAGCTTCAAGTTTTGGGCTTTGCAAAAAACTTGATTACCTAAAAAAACACAACAATTTTGAAAAAAGCAGCTTTCATAGAATATGAGCCAAATAAATCATGAATGAGAGCAAAAGACATGTTATATAACAGAACAGAGCTTTGTTTTCATCCTGTTTTGTCAACATTAAAGCCTCAGAACTTTAGTTTTTTGCACAGAAATTTTAATATTAGAATTATAAAATTTGTGTAAGAAAGCTGAAAATGAGCAAAAAAAGTATTCGAAATTGTTATCAAAATGTTAGTAGATTTTTCTCATAATAGAAAAAACCTATAACTATAGACCATATACGCATTCGAAAAAAAAACAAACTTTGCGACGACAATCGCCTATCTAGAAACTTTTTTGGTGAACCATCAGAATCAATTTCTACCCATAAAACGTCATATAGTAAAATCCACAAACTGATAGACCTTCTGGATGTTTAACCAGAAACCATTTAAAATTCAAAGTTAAGGTAAGTTTTGAAAAAAAAATACCTAAAAGATTAGGAATTTTGATTTTTTTATTTTATTCTCAAAAGAATTTATCACTTTTGGCCAATTTTCCTAAAGTAAATTTCTGGAAGTTTTCACCTCAACATTGAAAAGTAGTTTTACCGTTTTCTCATTTTATCAAATTCATATTCGCAATTTGACTTTTTCTGAAACAACAGGTGAAGCTTTAAAATGACACGTTTTCTAATTTCAAGACTGTTTTTTTTCATGATAAATTCAAAGTAGTAGGATATTTCTACATCTAACTTATTCTATAAAATCATAGTCTTTGCAGGAAAAATCAAGGCTCCTATTTTATATATTGATATATTATTTTGAGTATACATACAAACACACATACATATAATATGACAGCGCAAGGTTGAGAGTTAGAGGTTACCACAAGGGTGACAGACGACGCCGTTTGCCGGTACCTGCCTGTTTTTAATCAGCACCAAAGGATTGACAGATGATTGAAAGTACCAATTGAATGAACTTAAATAACTTATTGACCTTAGCCTTCTATGTCAGTTCCTATCTTGTAAAATGAAAAAATTATTTACTCGATTGATGGAAATTTAAGGATATGTAGTTAAAGGACTTGAAATTTTGCTTTATTCTGAGTCGCTTCTCATTTTTGATTGTTTTAGCATAATTGAATTTATCGCCAACTAAATACGAAATTTGGGTTTTTGGACGTTTAACGACAAACCCTCTCCGTGGGCTTGTAAGGTCACTGAGTCTTTACTCGCCGTTTTGGACATCTCTAAATCTCCGCTTCACTCCGCTTGATCGATTCCTGATCTCCTCTCCATAGGTTCGTCTCGCTCCGAAAGTTCAGCCGTTAGGTTCGTCCCGCTAATCGCTGTTTTCACCCACTTTTCTTCGTTCCCGCCAGTGAGGATGCTGTGTCCGCTTGTAAGGTCACTGAGTCTTTACTCGCCGTTTTGGTCATCTCCAACTCTCCGCTTCACTCCGCTTGATCGATTCCTGATCTCCACTCCATAGGTTCGTCTCGCTCCGAAAGTTCAGCCGTTTGTTTTGTGTTGGTCGGTTTTGCTATAGGGCTGCTGTTGGGCCCTGCGCTCGTGCAAACAGTTGCAGAAGGAAGGGTCTCGCTACCGCGTTCACTCTTCGAGCGGCTATCCGCATTGAATTTTAGACCGTTTTTTTCTTGGTTTTCTTTTTAGTTTCTGTATTAGCTGTCTGCGCTAGCTGTTTTTTTAAAGTATTGAGGATTAGTTGATTGTTGTAGCCCGGCTGGTTTATTTTTTCTTCTCGCACTTTTCGCCACCGCAACGTCCGATATCCTATGCACATTTTAAAAAATTAACATGTGTGCCATTTTAGATTTTACTTCAGACGTTATTATTATATACCTGTTCAGGTTCCGGTCTCCGAAACATAGCCTGAGGGCCACGGTATCAACTAGCCTGAGGGCTGCGGTAACCATTTCAAATTTTGCAGAGGAGGTTTTCGTACTTTTTCGCAACACCTGACAAAAAAGGCTGTACAATCCGCGCAGCTCTTTGCTATTGAAGCAATTGAAGGTTAATTATAAGTGTACCAAATATCTTTGGCGGCTTGAAACTTATTTGGTTTTCCGCGATGGTAAAATTGATTGAGATTGCTTATTGCTGTTATTAAATTATCATGGACAACCAATTTGTCGTCCATTTAAAGGAAGTTCTCCCTAAACTGAAAAGTTTTAAGTACTTGAGCATAATAGCGATTCATCGCGTAACCGTTTTCATAGAGTTTTGGGTCTTTCTCCTTTATCAAATCTCTAATCGCGCTAAGTTGGGGGTTGGCTCTATAATTGGTTTTAACAAATTGTAAAAAGCATAACTCTGGTAACGAAATGAGTTTACTGACAATTTTGGAATCCTCGGGAACAATGGACATAGAAAAATCATTGTGGTCAACCGAGAAAACGCCGAGGGTAACAAAAATCTTGTATTAGCTTTGGTATTTCGATTTTTCTAGTGATCGCTTCTGGAGCCGATGCTGTACGTACTTCTTGAATTGCGTAATAACTGCTATCTAGAATAGGTTTTTTTTTTAAAGAAAATTCCAAATTCGCGAAAACTTTTCCATTTTGTTCAATTTCAAATCAAAAAATTTGTTGAACAGTTTTTGAATGAACAATAGCCACAACTAAATTAGTTCTCGTTTCGCGTGACCGTCAAAATTGTCTGTGATTGATATGCAAAATTGTCTGTGATTGGTTGAGTCAGTCGCATGATACGACGTCCTCTGCCAGCAGTTTTTCACCAAAGTTTTGCATTTTGCATAACGCGTCGTGATTGTTTTTTTTTGCATTTTATTTAGCTTTTTTCATTAAACTACCGGTTCCTCAGTAAAACCCTTTTAATCATATTCCCAAAGGCGACGTCTTCAGTTAAATTTCGCCGCCATGAACGTGCTGTCGTTATTGCTGACGAGTAACATTCTGCTGTTCGGATTCCGAGATAGGAAATTCGCCAACCCAATTTTGCCCCCTGGTTTCTGTTCGACTTGAAAATCAAAGTAAGTAAACTATCTAACCATCTTGTCAGCCTTCGGAACATAATATTTCCATAAAACTGAAACGGACGCTTTTTGGG